TCTTAATAAAATGCAAAAACAAGGAAAATTGAATAAAACAATGGGTGCAAGACAAAATGATGATTATGAGGTAATAATTTGATATTTTGGGGTCTAAAAGAACCCCATGGTAATATCTTAATTTGATCAAATCAATGCTTTGGGTCTTAAATTAAAAAAAAACAGTAAAGTACAAAAAAAAATGTTGCAAAATATCATTTTTGTTTTGAGATTTTATATATAAATAGTACACACGGATTTATATGAACTTGTTGCATTATTCATAGCCTAAACAGCTCTTTTGTGTATTGACTGGTAAATTCAATGTAACTTCTAAACGATTCGCTCAAAATAAATGAAATATTCAGCAAATTTGTTCAAATTTAAATTATCTACTATATTGTCTAACATCATAATGTCCTACAGCAACTCGGTATACTTTAAAATCGCTTTTAAAAGTACAAAAATTGATTCCAGCGCGCACACGTATTTATATCTTACATCAACTTGAGTAGTGAACAAATTCATTCGTGACAATTTTTTAGTAAATATCTTATAACTTTAAAACTGTTCTTCCAATATTAATAAAATGCAAAATTAAATACTCAACAATATTTTCTAACATCATAATGCCCTACAGCAACTCGGTGTACTTTAAAATCGCTTTTGAAAGTACTACTCAAAGTGCAAATGTATGTATACGGAATTTTTTAGAGTATTTTAATTTAATAGTTATTAACAAATAGTTGTTTTATGTATTATATAATTGTTTATTCTGCATTTTGAAAGGACAATGGAAATTCAAATAATAATTCCTCAAAGATGATTAATAAAAACAAGAGAAAAGGATTTATCGTCGGTGGAAAGAAAACAACTATTGATAAATTTCCCTTCGTGGTAAGTTAATAATTTATTTAATTATTAAATCAATATAAAATTCAATTGATAAACGTATTGATGATACATATAAAATTAACCCAAACATTTTTTTTGACTACTTTTCATTAATTACTAGCAAATCTTATGTATGTAGTTTATATCGTTGATTTTATTTTATATTCTAAAATTTATTTATAATAAAACATTTGAATTTGAAACATACAACATTCAATAATTGTTTATATTTATTCTATTAGCTTGTGAATTTATGCATGCAACCAATAAACTATAGGCGACATATACACGATACTTGATTTTATAAAAAATATCCAATACTTGTTGTAATTAATTTTCACGTTTGAAAGTGCTTTAATAAAACAAGTATCACAAATATACGTGACGATATAAAATAAATAATATGATTATTTTTTTAAACCTGCACCTTTTACTTCCAAAATTTTCTTATATCATTTTTATTACCGTAGGTTGCTATATTGAAATTTTATTCGCACTTTTGTGGAGGATCTTTAGTCAAAATCAACTGGGTGCTGACGGCAGCGCATTGTTTGGCACAGGAAAGGTTTGTTTTATACCCAAAACACTTGTATAATATTTGAAATATTTTATTATATAAACAACTACATGTGTTATATATAAACTAATTTATTTTTATTCCAAGTGTTGAAGCCCTGACGGTTTTGGCAGGAGAGACAGACGTTTCGACCAACTATCTTACCAAAGGACAATGGTCACCGTCGAAATTGCTGGTGGTTCATTTGGAATTTAGGGAAGATCGAGGGGTTTATAATGATATTGGAATGATAAAGGTAATAATAATAATAATAATAATATATCTATATATATATATATATACATATATATATATATATATATATATATATATATATGCCATAGACCCGAAAGCATCGATTGCTATTACCCTTGGTGAACCTTGTTTGTGTCCTTCAATGATATTTTTCGTATGCTACATTTACATTTTTCGTATAAAATAAAAACAAATATTATGTCCGTAATGTACGTTCCAAGACCTTTCATTTGATATGCCACATGCAAAATGCTGTTCGAAAAGTGCCTTTAGGCAAGTTGCACTTTACCATCTTGTTAGTTTTGCACTAATCTTAAATTTTATATTTTTTGTGTGACGTAATAAATAAAAACAAATATTAGATTCGTGTTGTGCTCTTTAAGACCTTTTGTTTGATATGTCACATGCAAAATTGGTGTTCGAAAAATGCCTATCGGCAAGTTGCTCGCGGTGATAGTCGAAAAAGCAAGTGATGCGCTGTACAACTTTTTACAAGCGTGCAGTAAGTTTTTGATTGCCATTCATGAGTATACCGAGTTGCTGTAGGGTATTGAGATATAAGACAACATTATAGATTGTTTAATTTTGCACAAATTTGCCGAATACACTTTCTATATTAATCGAATGGTTTGTAAGTTACAAGAGATTTAATAAAGAAATGCACTCTTATAAACTTGTACTTGGTCTTCAAAAGCAATCAACAAAATCTAAATAAAGTAAGGAAGTTAATAAACAACAACGTACTATATGAACAATTAATTTTAACGAGCTCTTTAGGACGTACCGTTTGTACTAGATTGCTGTAATTTGGATATTTTAATCTTAAATATATATATTTTGATAAAAATTAATAAAATCAATAGGTTTTCTTTAAAACAATACAAGATAATAAACAAAATCTATATAAATGATAAAAGTTACTAAACAACCAGGTACTATATGAACAATTAAGAAATACGTCCTGAAGAGCTCCTCGAAATTAACTTCGAGGAGCTCTTCAGGACGTATCGTTTGTACTAGATTGCTGTAATTTGGGTATGTTAATCTTAAATATATATATTTTGATAACAATTAATAAAATCAATAGCTTTTCTTTAAAACAGTACAAGATAATAAACAAAATCTAAATAAATGACAAAAGTTACTAAACAACCAGGTACTATATGAACCATTAACTTTGAGGAGCTCTTCAGGACGTACCATTTGTACTAGATTGCTGTAATTTTGATATGTTAATCTTAAACATGTCTATTTTATTAACAATTAATAAAATCAATAGGTTTTCTTTAAAACAATACAAGATAATAAACAAAATCTATATAAATGATAAAAGTTACTAAACAACCAGGTACTATATGAACAATTAAGAAATACGTCCTGAAGAGCTCCTCGAAATTAACTTCGAGGAGCTCTTCAGGACGTATCGTTTGTACTAGATTGCTGTAATTTGGGTATGTTAATCCTAAATATATATATTTTGATAACAATTAATAAAATCAATAGCTTTTCTTTAAAACAGTACAAGATAATAAACAAAATCTAAATAAATGACAAAAGTTACTAAACAACCAGGTACTATATGAACCATTAACTTTGAGGAGCTCTTCAGGACGTACCATTTGTACTAGATTGCTGTAATTTTGATATGTTAATCTTAAACATGTCTATTTTATTAACAATTAATAAATCAATAGGTTTTCTTTAAAACAATACAAGATAATAAACAAAATCTATATAAATGATAAAAGTTACTAAACAACCAGGTACTATATGAACAATTAAGAAATACGTCCTGAAGAGCTCCTCGAAATTAACTTCGAGGAGCTCTTCAGGACGTATCGTTTGTACTAGATTGCTGTAATTTGGGTATGTTAATCTTAAATATATATTTTGATAACAATTAATAAAATCAATAGCTTTTCTTTAAAACAGTACAAGATAATAAACAAAATCTAAATAAATGACAAAAGTTACTAAACAACCAGGTACTATATGAACCATTAACTTTGAGGAGCTCTTCAGGACGTACCATTTGTACTAGATTGCTGTAATTTTGATATGTTAATCTTAAACATGTCTATTTTATTAACAATTAATAAAATCAATAGGTTTTCTTTAAAACAATACAAGATAATAAACAAAATCTATATAAATGACAAAAGTTACTGAAGAACTACGTACTATATGAATTTTGATGAGCTCGACGAGTAAAATAATATTATATAACTATCAATTTTATTTAAATTTTCCAGAATATTGAAATTTTATTATGTTATTCCTCAATATGTCTATTATGACAGAAAATACTAAAATCGATGAGTCTCCTAACAAATTTTCCAGATATTTACAATAATACGAGTAGGTAACATTAACTACAAAGAAAGTTAAAGAGACTAAGAAAGTTTTAATTTTTTTAAAATACTTTTGCTCATTTCAGAATATTGTAATTTCAATATGATATTCTTCAATATGTCTATTATGATACTAAGTACTAAAATCAACGAATCTTCTAACAAATTTTCCAAATATTTACAATAAGACGATTATGTTACTTTAACAACTCCTCATAAAAGCGCTACAGATGGTCAGAGGTAAAGGTTATTAATGTATTCTTAATGTACCTAAGAAAGTTTTAATTTTTTTAAAAATAGTTTTGCTTGTTCCAGAATATTCTAGTTTTAATATGTTATTCCTCAATGTGTCTATTATGACACCAAATACTAAAATCGATGAGACTTCTAACAAATTTTCCAGATATTTACAATAACGTGAGTAGGTAACGTTAACTACAAAAAAAGTTGTAATTTGTAAAGAGACGAAGAAAGTTTTTTTTTAATAGTTTCGTTCATTCTAGGATATTGCAATTTTAGAGTTTACTGAGTTACTTTAGGGCATTATGGTAAAAGGCAGTATTGTAGATAATTTAATTTAGTACAAGTTTACCAAATACACTATTAAAATTAAACGCTTAGTTTGGAAGTTACAAGTGTTATAATAAATAAATGCACAGTGCAGACAAGTCAGTAACGTCACAAGAATATCTTTGCACTTACTTTATGTACAGTACACGATTTTCAAATGCGATTTTAAAATATACCGAGTTACTCTAGAGCATTATGATAAAGGACAGTATTATTGGTAATTTCATTTTATACAAGTTTACCTAAAACACTATTTATATTAAACAATTGGTTTAGAAGATACGAGTTCTAATGAATAAATGCACAATGAAGACAAGTCAGTAACGTCACAAGAATGTCTTTGTACATAGTTTAAGTACAGTACACGATTTTCAAAAGCGATTTTCGGGTATACCGAGTTACTTTAGAGCATTATGCCACAAGACTGCATTGTTGGTAATTTAATTTTGACCAAATTTACCAAATACATTATTCAAATTAAACGTCTAGTTTGGAAGTTACAAGACTTATAACAAATAAATGCAACAGTAAACCATCCACTGCTGTTCCTACAATTATTGCTAAACATTGCCTTAAAAATGTCTTCCAACTATTTCAGACCAGTTCGAATTTCGTCGAAGATGACTACGTCCGATTGATAAAATATGCAACTCCCACAATCAACAATAATGCCGAAGATTTGACCGAATTGAGTGACACTTGCATCGTCATTGGTTGGGGCGACACCAGACAACAGAGGAGGAAGAGGACAGGTAAGTGATTTGTTAAAAAAATTGGTATAAAATATTAATTGACAAGTTCTTGGTCTGTTTTAGCTTCAAATATCCTCCAGTATGTGGAATTACCGTTGATATCCAACGAGGCATGCAGAAGAGAAAAACCTGAGTACCATCTTGCCGACACTCAGATGTGCACCATGTACAGACCTGGAGGAAAAGACGCCTGTTTGGTAATTGAAATTCATTTGTGTGAACAATTTAGTTGATAGATTTTGATAAAACAATCTGTAGATTTCAAAAACCTGATTTAGATACACTCAAAACTTTCGTGCATGGAAATTTACAAATCTAACCAAAGTGCTACAAAACAATCTTTAACCCATCATCATTTTATTCATTATCTATTACCAGGGTGATTCTGGTGGACCTTTAGTTTGGGAACAGAATGGTGAATTTGTTGTCCAGGGTCTGGTGTCTTATGGTGAAGGTTGTGCCAGGAAAGACTATCCTGCTGTCTACACCAGAGTTGACAAATATTCGAAATGGATATATGATGCCATCAGGACTGATGGAAAATCTGCAAGGACGGTGTCTTCTGAGGGAAAGAATGAGATGAATCCAATTCTTTTTGTGCTTACACTTTTTTTATCAGCACGAAAATTCATAATTTTACAGAACGGTTCATTTTGAATGATAAAAATAATAAATATTATTAATTTTTATTATTTAGTGTTATTAAAAAATCGCTCTTAAATTCATTTTTTATTTTTAAATAATCATCGATATTTAAGAAAAATGTGTCATCTTGGAAATTTCGTGAAAACTATTGAAAAATGTTAAAATGCCGCCAAGCTAAGCACAGTATAAGTGAAAATGTCGCACAGAATTATTTGCAAATGCGTTTAGACTGTGACTATACGGGAGCAGATTTTTCAATTTTGTGTAAATTAGTGTGACTATTTTGTGAATATTTAACCAGGTAACTGTGATTGACGTATACACTGGTCATTGAAATTTAGTACAACTTTGTGAATTAATGAGTATAGTGACTAGTTTTCTATTCAAATTCAGTTCTTTTGGAAACAGAAATTTTTAATTTACCTTAACTTGCCTTTTAATACTTAATATTATTAGAAAATAGCTCTTAATTATTTTTTTTATTTTGAAATATTCATAGAAATTTAAAAAAAATGAGTCATTTTGGAAAAACATTTTGGGCTGTACCAAAAAATATATCAAAAGTGTGTATTTGATGAATATTTAACCAGGTAACTGTGATTGTCGTATATACTCGTCACTAAAATGTGGTAGAACTATGTGAAATAAGAGTATATTCGTCATGTGTATTAAACAGTGACTATTTTTTTTATTGAAATTCATTTTTTTTGGAAGTAGCATAGTTTAACTTACCTTAGGGTAAGTTATAGTCATCATCCAAAAATCAAAAGTGAAAATTTTGATGGAATTTAACGAGTTTCAACAAAATTCGAACGAATTTCAATAAGATTCGAACGAAATTCAACGTTATTCAACAAGATTCGAACGAAATTCAACAAGATTCAAGGAGATTCAACTAAATTCAAATGAGATTCAAGCGAGAATCAACAATTCAACAAGATTCAAACAAAATTCAACGTTATTAAACCAGATTCGAACGAAATTCAACGTTATTCAACAAGATTCAAGGAGATTCGAATGAAATTCAACACGATTCAACGAGATTCAACGAAATTCAATAAGATTCGAACATTATTCAACAAGTTTCGAATGAAATTCAAGGAGATTCGAACTAAATTCAATAAGATTTGGACGATATTCAACGTTATTCAACAAATGAAATTCAACAAGATTCAATGAGATTCAAACGATATTCAACGTTACTCAGCGAGATTCGAACAAAATTCAACGTTATTTAACGAGATTAAAATGAAATTCAACAAGATTCAATAAGATTCGAACGAAATTCAAGGAGATTCAAGCGAAATTCAACGAGATTCTAATAAAATTCAACGTTATTCAACAAGATTCGAAGGAAATTCAAGGAGATTTGAACAAAATTCAACGTAATTCAACGAGATTCGAACGAAATTCAACGTTATTCAACAAGATTCGTATGAAATTCAACAAGATTCAAGAAAATTCGAACAAAATTCAACAAGATTCAACAAAATTTAATAATATTCGAACAAAATTCAACGTTATTCAGCGAGATACGAGCAAAATTCAACAAGATTCAGGGAAATTAGAACGAGATACAACGAAATTCAACAAGATTCGAACAAAATTCAATAAGATTCGAACGAAATTCAACAAGATTCAAGGAGATTCAAACGAAATTCAACGTTATTCATCGAAATTCAAGAAAATTCAACGAAGCTGAACAAGATTCAAACGAAATTCAACGAGATTCAAACGATGTTCAACGTTATTCAACGAGATTCGAACGAAATTCAACAAAATTCAATGAGATTCGAACGAAATTCAACGAGATTCAATAAAATTCAATGAGATTCGAATGATATTCAACGTTATTCAATGAGATTCGTACGATATTCAACAAGATTCAAACGTTATTCAACAAGATTCGAACAAAATTCAATAAGATTCAACGAGATTCGAACGAGATTGATTAAAATTCAAGTAGATTCTAACAAGATCTTAAATTACCAGTACAAAATCAAATAAATTTTACCATCCAGATTCAAACCAACCACGTTCTAATTATTATCAATACACAAAGCCATGTTTTAAATAACAGAATGCAAAGCATTTTGTTTTAAATACAGCAAAGCATTTATAAATAATAAACAAAACTCACCATTTTGCTCCATATCAAATTGCTATTTTGTGAGTCACGACAGATGGCGAATGTATTTATAAATGTTTTCGCATTTTTGATATGACGTATTCTTGACATAACCTTTGTAACTTTATTAGTTAATATTTATCAGTGGGAGCAAGATCTGAAGGAAAATATCTTTTTAAATCGAATTAAAATTAAATAAAATCGTAGTGCAGTTTGTGAAGATGGCGGACACTGTTGGCAAGGTAAATTAATAATAATAAACTATATATATATATATATATATATATATATATATATATATATATATATATGTGTGTGTATATTATTAGATATGTATTATGTATTATATAATAACCATTACATTGATTTGCACAATTATACTCATCTTCTAGTTTAACTTTTTAATAAAAGCTTGTATTAACCTAGGTTATTTTACACAGATATTTCACACAAAAACAATGCTTTTAATTTACAAATAATAATAAATATATTTATGCACGCTAATTGTTTTAATAGTTTAAAATTTATTTAACAATTTAGTTAAATAACAACAATTTTGGAACTAAATTAGCAGCTGTCAAGTCCTTCAGCTGTCAAATTTATGCGTGTGAAGTTAGCTGCAAAGCGAATTTCAAATTTATTCTGTTAATTTTCAAAATTAATTATGATTAAATTAAAAAGAAATTTATTTAATAGTTCAGAAACAAGTAAACAATATTATTAAATATAATATTTAATATTAAAATAATAAATTCTTTCGAGCTGTTAAATTTATACGAGTGAAGTTATCTGCAAACCGTATTTAAAATTCTGTTAATTTACAAAATTAGTTATAAATATATTAAATATATGCCGATTCAAATACAAATATATTTATTTAATAGTTTAAAAATAAGATGACAATATTATTAAATGTAATATTTAATATTAAAATAATAAATACTTTCGAGTGAAGTTAGCTGCAAACCAAATTTAAAATTTATTTTGTTAATTTACAAAAATAATTATAAATATATTAATATATGCAAAATAAAATAGAAAGAAATTTATTTAATAGTTCAGAAATAAGATAACAATATTATTAAATGTAATATTTAATATTAAAATAAAAAATTCTTTCGAGCAGTCAAATTTGTATGAATGAAGTTATCTGCAAACCGAATTTAAAATTTTTAAAATTAATTGTAAATATATTATTATATGTAGAATGAAATAGAAATAAATTTATTTAATAGATCAGAAATAAAATAATATTATTAAATGTAATATATAATATTAATATAATAAATTCTTTCAAGCTATCAAATTTATACGAGTGAAGTTATCTGCAAACCTGTTTCTGTTGATTTACAAAATGTCGGTACATATTGTTTGTTAATAAAATATTATAAATTGTCAAATAAATAATTAATAATAACAATTTTAATAAAAATAATAAGTTAAATGAATACATGATGTACAAGTGTGTACATTTGTGTTAAGTTTCTTTGATAAATGTTTCTAATTTTTAACATGACGTATTCTAACCTTTGTAGTTTCTAATCTTTGTTTTTAATATTTATCAGCAAATTAACTTTTGTACTTTAAATTTATATCTGTACATCAAAAATAGAATTAAATAAAACGCTGTAAAAATCGCACTACACTTTGTGAATATGGCTGATACATTTGGCAAAGTAAATTTAAAAAAAATATATATATCAGCCACAAGTCGAAGAAATAAAAACAGAAAGTAAATATAAAATCTTCTTTAATACGTTTCGAGCAGTTATACTAGCTTATCATTTTTTTCTGTTTTTATTTTTTCGCCTTGTGGCTGAAAAACTTTAACAATATGTTTCAAAGTCAAAATAAACAATATCATATATATATATATATATATATATATATATATATATATATATATATATATATATCTATATCATGTATATGTTATATAAATCACATTACAATTACGAATATCTATTTACTATTACATTTATCTTTTATTTTAGGTTATAGAATGCAAAGCAGCAGTCGCCTGGGCTCCCAAAGAGCCCCTAAAGATAGAAACGGTTCAAGTAGCTCCTCCAAAGGCTCATGAAGTCCGAATAAAACTAACAGCAACTGGTGTGTGTCATACGGATGCTTATACTCTTGGAGGTTTTGATGCTGAAGGTAAATTCCCAACGATTTTGGGACACGAGGGTGCTGGTATTGTTGAAAGCGTTGGGGAAGGAGTTACTAAGTTCAAACCAGGTAATAGATAGATGAGTATATGTATATGTATATATATATATATATATATATATATTAATATATATATATATATATATTGTTGAGAATTGTGTTTTTTATAATTATAAATAATAGTTATAAGTAAATTTATTTGAACGATGTATAATCCCAAGTAACGGTAAATGTTGCAAATATCTTGTACATCTGCAAGACAACCCTTAATAAAAGTTTATGATAGCTCATGTACCCTCGGCAAGCTATCATAAAACAGGAAATATTGGAAATATTTTAAAAATGTAAAAATATAAAGTTAGTCCTGAACTGTTGAAGAAGTAACAACTAAAATATTATAATAAAGCGCTAAATAAATTCTTGTATCTAAATGAATTCTTTTATGTCACACACTTTCAGAAGAGCTACAAATGTTCCAATTCTCATCGTTATGTATTCCAAATAAAACTCTAATCTACTCAAGAAATTATTAAAAATTGGTTACATTTAATCATTAATTAGTAAATTCATTACCAATGTTTCTTCAATATATATGAGTTTTTTGTTACAGGTGATCATGTAATACCTCTCTATATACCTCAATGTGGTTCATGTAAATATTGTTTGCACCCGGAGACTAATTTGTGCCAAAAGATTCGATCAACACAAGGCCAAGGTGTGATGCCCGATGGTACTTCAAGATTTACTTGCAAAGGTACATTTTTGATTTATTATTTTAGGATATACTCATTATTATTATATTATACACTTATTGTTTTTATTTTACTTTATGTTTTTCTAGTATTATTTTTATTATTCAGAAATTTTATTTATCTTACTTATTACTTTTTTTATTATTATTATTTGCTTTTATTTTATATTAAATCAACAAATTACGTATATCATTTTATTAAAAATTCTATTCTTTATTTTATACTCTTTTTATTAAATTTATATAATTGTTCGTTTCTGTTACTAAATGTTAATTATTTAGCTGTTGTAACAAATATAGTAATTAAAAAAAAGGATATTAGTTGATTTTGTTGTAAATCTAAAACAAACTAATAATAGTTGTTATAATATTTATATACTAAGTTAAAAATGGACAAATGAAATAATTAGCTAATAATTATATATATATATATATATATATATATATATATATTTATTTATTAATTTTTAACCCAATGAAAAAGCTGTACTATTCTTGTTTTTTTAATATTTTGTCATTCTGAATTTTGTACTTATAAATTAATATATATATATATTATTTTAGGCAAAGAAGTATTCCATTTCATGGGCACATCAACGTTCAGTGAATATACAGTTGTAGCAGACATATCCTTAGCTAAGGTAAAATAAAATTATATTATATATATATATATATATATATATATATATATTTTTTTTTGAATAGTCTTGAATTTGATGTTGATATATATGTTTAATTTGAGTTTAATATTCGGGCGTAACATCAATAAAAATGTTTTCTATCCTAAACTCCGAAGAGTAAATACATAGTTTCGACAACTTGTCAAGTTACCATGATTATTAGTGTGTTTTACCATTTGTGATGTTTGTGTTAAAAAATACATATCTTATCAATGTGCACATACTCATACCATGGATTAATAATGGTTTCATATGCTATATTAGGATACAAAATTTTAACTTGATTACCACTGAATGATGGCTAAGATGCTAGCCGAAACGTATGGATTTTAAATAAATAAATTTTTTAAAAACACTCATACTATTTTTATTGATGTTACGCCCGAATATCAAACTCAAATTAAACATATATATATATATATATATATATATATATATATATATATATATATATAAAATAAAGTTGTTCTTTGACGTCCATCCGTTAATTAAAACTATTTTATT